AATATTTTTAATCCTTCATCTTTCATTTGCAATTAATTGAGTCCAAACATTCTCCAATCGTCGATATTGTTCCGAATCAACTATTGAACGTGTGCAATTTAGTACTCGAATTTTAGGTTTCTGTTTTCACTTTTATTAACCATTTTTCATTCATTTCTTCTAATTTCACTTCTAATCATCGAGTTTTACCTAACAATATACAAGAGATTGGACCATAATTAATTAAAAGAACTACTAAATATATTTATTAAATGTCCAAATAAGAGTATAAATTACACTTATCAATAATCTTCTCTTTTTGCAAGTGCATGTCCAATTATTTAAGGAATGAAATATCATTGAACTCTGGTGGTTGGTGTATGGTCGGAAAACCTTCTTTGCTGTGTTCTTGTTTGTTCTTTGTTCATCAATTTAGCCGGAGTTCAATGACATATCGTTCCTAAAATAGTTGAACACATGCCTGCAAAAATAGGGAATTAGGATTAGAGAGATGTAGAATAGATGGTACAATTGGGGATATAACTTTATAAGTAGTAGCTTCTCATATTCTTCTTAACAGTCGGCTCCATCTTAGTACACAATTTAGTTGTATGTGGGTGATATGAGAGAATTGGGGAATAGAATTTTTTATGACTAAAATTGGGGACACATTATTGGGACTTGAAGAAGTTTATGGGGTCGTGAAGGTTGTGTTTCATAGATAGTAATTTTGGTGAGTTGATAGTTTGGTTGAATTGAAAATTCGTAACTTGCCTGTGAGATTTCTTTGCAATATGTTAGCAACAAAGGGAATAAAATCTAACGGGTGATGGATGGAGTGCAGCGTCTCAAAAATGAATGATCATTGGGAAGTATTTTGAAATTTGATGAGTAAACTGTGACTAATTATCCAACTAATTATAAGTTGAATGATTAATGAAACATTAATTTGACCGAGTTGTGATTTTTTAACGATCATAATTTACCACATGGGATTTTCATTAGCGTCAATGAATTAGGTAACAATTTTTTTAAGGTTGATGAATAGAGTGCAAACTGACCAGTTCAGTGAGCACTATGAAGTTTAATGAGTAAATCGTGATCATGGTATAAGTTAGATGATTGTCGAACCATTTAACTCATTTTATTGGCATACAAAATTATCCATTAGATAGATAAATAAATTATAAGATTGTAGCTCTTTGGGGTTACGTACGAAATTACCAGTAGACATAATTGACGTACCTGATTTACTCTTTTTTTATTTTGACTAGATACGATAAGGTTGGTTGGACACGCGATTTGAAGGATTCTCCTGATATAATAAATAGGTCTTGATTTTTCTTTGTCCATTGATTCTAAAGTTCGAATTATGAATAGTTTCGCATAATGTTATTTATGTAGACTTTAACAGTCAACGATCCAAGTGTTAATTATTGAACATCTTAAATAGAATTAGACTTTTCTCTTAGAGTTAAATCACTACT